AACAAGCCCCAACCCCAGCCCGGCTCTGGGGGCCCTGCACCACAGTGGAGCCTGGGCCAAAGCTGCTGGCTCCCTGCAGCGGGGTCAAGGCTGCTCTTACAAGTGTTAATTAAGGCACCTGCTACAACTGTTCAGCAAATTAGTTCCCATTAGAGAAATCATAGAATCATAGCATCACTTTGGTTGGAAAAGACCTTCGAGATCATCGAGTCCAACCTTTAACCTAACCCTGCCATCCCACCACTAAACCATGTATCGGGCACTCACCACAGTCTGCAGCACAAGGTGGGGGGGTGCTCCTCAGGATGGGTGCAGGAACCAGAGTCTTGATCTTCTGTGCTGGGGGAGGGGGAAACAAACAAACAAAAAACCAAATCAAAGAAAACAAAGTCACAGGATCATTTTTGTCCCCAGGACTCAGGTTGTCAGTAAACAACGGCTCAGAAGAAGGGCCCAGAGGCACTTGGAGCAAGGAACATCAGACACAAAGGTTTTCAGAGTAAACTCAGCGCCCCCAAGGAGCAGCAGCTCAACCGCACCCCAGCTGAGCAAGTGAAGCTGACGTTTCCACGCAAACAGGCGCAAGCACCCACGCTCGGCGAGAGCAGAAATAAAATACTTTTGTCGTTTTTTAATAACAGCAGCACCTGCCTTAGACCCAGCGGCAGCTCATCTGCATGCAGATGCAGGGCCCAGGGTAGATGTGTCACCGTGGCAGAGTTGTTTGTTTTTAATGACAAACCCTTCTGCGGTCTCCGGGGGGATGTCGTACGCTGCAGAGGCGTTACTGGTGCGCTCAGCAGCCGGCAGATCCCGGGAAGGGGCCGACAGCTCAGAGTCACAGCTGCTTCGGGACATGGAGCGGCTTTGCCAGCTCCAGGCGGTGGAGCCGATGTGCCCCAAAGCAGCGGGGTTTTGGCAGGAGGGCGCACAGGGCTGCGATGCAGGCCAGAGCGAAGCACCAGCTCTGACCCAGCACGATGGGGTCCCACGTCCACCCCAGTGCCCAGCAGCTGTGCTGCCTGCACCCCATGGCAGGCAAAGCACTGGCCTGAGCCCCTCTCCTCCAGGCTGGGGCTGGGGCCGCCCCCCCCCCCCACCCTCCTGGCCCCCT